TTTTTTTTTGCTGGACCACTTAAGCAAACAATTTTCTTTGTACCCTGCGATATGCATGATAAATCCATGTAAAATCGAGTATTCTGTCGTAACTCACCTGCTGATAGGGATTTTTCACGTTTGGATGTATTGTATGAAGAGAGCGTCCGCCAAATGAATCTTCGCCTTGATACTTATTACTGGCGGTGTAATCAATGCCTAGAAGTTCATTATCGTCATTGTCAACAGGCTTACAGTAAGCTAAATTTGCATCCTAGACATTTAAGATCTAATCAGCTAAAAATCGCTATACCGAATATCATGTTTGTGTTTTCAAGCCCAGCCTTGCGCATGGCGTCCGATAAGGTGTCGAGGCTGTCGATCGTCAATAGCATCTCTTGCATCGAAGTGACACCCAACACAGAAAGCAGAGAGGATTGCTTCCGCAGCTAAAGACAATCTTGAATAATTGTAAGACGTAGAGGCTAGCGGTAGTAGTATGCAATCACTGATACTCGTACTTTACTGGTAAATATCTACAGTAACTTCTTAAAGAATTTGGGAACATTTAAAATCTTTAATTTTATATCTGACATTTATGTATGCTAAGCATAGTAACGTGACGTCATTCATCACGGCTAGATGTTCAAAGCCAAATGCTGTTGGCCGATGTTCCCACGAACCCGTCTTAATCGAAATCCTTAAGAGTGACGATCCGACTACACGGCTGAACATCTCTGCGCAACTTTCATACTTATGTTTTAAGAGAATTTTCTATACCGTCGTAAAGCGCGCCCAATCACAGCGCGTTTACCATGTTTGCAAAATTTCGATGAATAACGACCTTTTCACATGCTCCTCTTAAATCCATAAATTTGCTTTCTGTTCCACCTACGGAACAACATGAATTTGATTTAGGAGAACACAGATGTAGTACGGGCGGGAATACCGAATAAAAAATTTTAAAAGTTAAATATGAGGCCGAATGAGGGAATCTTAAATAAAACCTCGCTATAACAATATTTTGCATAAAGAACATGATATAGGCTCATTAAGGTTTTAAGCAGCCTGTAACTTTTGAAGAAAATGTTTGTTTTATTTCCAGAAGATTTACGAACGATGACAAGAAACACAACCAAACAGAATAGCAAAACTACGCGTGGTTATTGTTTTTGTTCGTTGAAAAAAGTAGTGTGACAAAATTCATTGAAATGCACTCTTCGGTTTCAATCCGAAATAACTGAATAATTTATCTAACACGATTTATAAAATCAAAAACAGATACTAGATTACCTATAAAATTTTAAGAGTCCTTTTGTATTCAAAATTCAACAAAAAGGGCAGAAAAAGCGGCAATTACTTTTGCAGATTATTTGCGACGTTTTAATCGCTAGCTTGGAAATATGTGGTAAATCGATGTCACACTTGAAATGCATGCGGTAGAGAATACGACAGCTTTACAATTAGATATTCAAGTTTCTAGAGCTTAAACGCAAAAGAGTCTTGAAATAGCTCTCACTAAAAGTTGAGATGTTTCCAATCTATAATCCTCCACCGATATGACATAAACACTTTTCTTGTATTCGTGATATGTTCTTTTTACAAATTGAATCTCCCTACTTCTTTTTCAAGGAGTTACTTTAGAGCAAACATGTA